TTGGATTTTTATTCTGGTTATCGTGACATTAAACCTGTCCTATTCTTATCTCTAGTATTTTAAATTGGGAGTAAGCAATAAATTCCCACAGCCAAGTCCCATTTATCAAAGTGTCCAAAGAACAGTTTGTACTGACCTCATCAGTCAATCAGAAATACTTATGGAGTTACCCCATGTGCACTGGACTAATGACCAGTTAGAGCCTTTTATAAGTTGGCCTTTAAAATGAGTCTGTGCTACCATTTTAAACATTTATTCTGAACATTCTGCCTAAGAACAGCATTTTCTGTCTCTTCTATTTTCGTTTTCTATATCTATTGTTCTGTATCAGCCAGTCATATCAGCTAACCTAAATATAAGATGGATTACCAATGTAAGAGTTAATTTTTTTCAAAGTAACAACATAAAGCACCCTTCACCCTCACTAATCCCCAAAGTAAGGGGGCCCTTCTCCCTTTGACCACAATGTAAAAGGGGTCCTTCTCCCATTGACCACAAAGGTAACTAGAGCCTTTCTCCCATTGACCAGCTGTAATAGGTGAACTTCTCCCTTAGAACATCAATGTGACAGGGGCCCCTCTCCCATTAACCACCAATGTAATGGTGGCCCTTTCTCCCTTTGACTGCCAATGTAAAGGGGGTCCTTCTCCCATTAACCACCAATGCTACTGGGGCCCTTCTCCCATTTGACCCCAAGTTTAAGGGGGAACCTTCTCCCTTTGACCTCCACTGTAATGAGGGCCCTTCTGCTGTTGGCCGCTAATGTAATGTGGGCCCTTCTCCCTTACCACCAATGTAATGAGGACCCTTTTTCAACTGACCACCAATATAATGGTGGCCCTTCTCTCTTGTACTACCATTGTAACTATGGGTGACATTCTCCATTTAATCACTGATGTGATAAGGGCCCTTTTCCCTGACCACCAATAAAAGTGTAGCACTACGTTTGTGTCCCTATGCACTGCACAGCCAGGCAACACACATTTTCCACACTTGTACCTTGAAAGGCAATGTCTGAGACAGTCCTTGAGCTGTTTTTTCATTAAGGGGTTAACAGCTTGGATGGGGTCTAAGGGTATATGGCTGCCCAAAGATCTGTAGAACTTGAGGATGAACTTCTTAGCAACTATGTACAAAAATGTGGACTACCATGGAAAAAAAAAAAAGAGATTATATATATATCACTGTCCATTTTTCTTGGTGGTGTACCTCCTCATACCCTGGATGAATCATCCTTCTCCTCGCCCAGCTGTGCTCAGGGTATCCCTGAGCAAGTGGGTCCCAAGAGTTTGCAGTTAAGCAGTCCCAGGTGAATATTAGTTGGGTTTACACCTGACTGGCTTCTCCCCTTATCTGGCCTAGGGGTGTAGGAATTATCATGCTGTCCTTGCCTGTTAGCATGGTGGGTTGGTGGCTGCCTTCAGGCCTTACATTGGGCTGGTTCCTTCCCTTCTACCAGGTTGTCCTCCCCTGGAGACGTTGAGGCAATAGACATCCTTCCGTCCAGCAACCAGCCTGTAGGCAGGCTCCCCTCCCAGGCTCCATGTTCCAGCCTACCTCTCAGTCCATCTTCCACCTGACTCCTCTGCTAGCATGGCTCTTTCATATATATGGACTAGTCCACCACACTACCAGGACCTCTTAGCCTGGGATTGGTCAGACTCCCATGAATTTGCTGAGTCTCCACCCTTCCACCTACTGGCTTCTGGAGTTTTCCATGGACCTCCAGAACCAAGTGGAGAGGACAGAGTCCCAACCTGCTTCCAGCCTGACCTCAAACTGAACCCACAGTAATTCAGGCTCACTCACTACCATGGACCAAAAACAATTTACCTTACGATAGCCCCATCTAGTGGGTGTTACAATAAGGATATCCTTTTTTTTTCCAATAATAGGTAGTGCCAATTTTTTTTTAATGGTTTCCTAGCAATCACATGACCAAACAACTCCAGATCTTGGGTGGCTGATGTGACAGCTGACAACAGTGAGGAATTCCCGGAGCAGTGACATCACTGCACCAACACCAATGCTCTAGGTGTTGTTTAGGTCTCCTCCCAGAGCTGTGAGGTCATATGGCCACTAAATAAAAAAAAAAAAACAGGTAGAAAAACTGAGAAGGAGCAGAAAGAAGACAACATTTAAAGCTTATTAGTATAGAGTCTTTCATTCTTCTTTAATATTTTGTGTATATCTTTTTAAACTTGCTGATCATGCTTATGTACAAAGAGCCCTAGATAAAGTCATTTTTAACAAGGGTTTCCTGAAGCCTGAAAGTTATTTAAGGGGGTCCCCTGCCTAAAAAATCAAGTCTTATAAATATTATACACAACATTCTTTGTACTGACACTTCATGGAGATGCAAACAACCAGCCAGAATGTCCTTCCATCAGTTGATCACACCTCTCCGCCCATTACCCCAGGCTTCAGAGGACTTTTGTAGGCATATTGAAGAAACTAGTGCAAAAAGCAATGATGTGAACTTACACATCAATATATTTGTAAGCCTTGCTTCAACTACCCTCCTGAATGTATACATTTAGTAATTTAGGATGGGTTAGATTCACTTAAAGTTAAATATCACCTAGAAAGGGGAAGTTTTGCTCATTCTCCTCCTCCTCCCTCCATTAACGTAAACCTTTTCTTTTCTGGAAGCAGGTTCTGGCACCCACTTAAGCTCGGCTGAGTGATCCGAGGGGACATTCTGCCCTCCTTCCCCTGTTTACAAGGCTGTGGATCTATTCAGAAAGCACGGAGCAATTTGCACATGCTTAATGGGAAGTCAGCAGTGAAGCTGCAGGAAATCACAGTCGGCTTCCCACATGACAAGCAGGCTGGGTGATGACCGCACTGGATTCCTGGACAGGTAAGTGTCTTTTTATTAAAAGTCAACAGCTACAGTATTTGTAGCTGCTGGCTTTTTTTTTTTCTTACCAACCAGAGCTCCTCTTTAAAGTGGTTCTAAAGGTTGGACATTTTTACAAAAATGTACGCCCCGTATGAAGTGGCATCCTATGGTGGCACTCCGGGAAGAGGAGGTTCAGGGGCACTATGTGCAATACCATTGCACAGAGCACAAAAGCATAACAGGTTTGTTATTTTAAAGTGGTTCTAAAGGTTCAAAGTACTTTTACCTTCATGCATTCTATAAGTAAAAAAAAAAAACTCCCGTGTGTAACATCCTCCCCAACACTTACCCTGCGCCCCATCGCAATCCAGCCACGAGAGCCTCGGTTCTCTGGGGACTCTTACTCCTGATTGGCGGAGGGCAGGCAGCAGCAGATGCCATTGGCTTCCTCTGCTGTCAATCACAGCCAGTGAGCTAATCAGAGGGAGAAGGGGCTGAGCTGCGGCTCTGTGTGTGAATGGACAGGCAGAGCCGCAGATCGGTGGTGACCCCGCTCAGGTGCCCCCATAGCAAGCTGCTTGCTGTGGTGGCACCCGACAGGAGGGAGGGGTCATGTGCGCCAGCAGGGACCCAGAGAAGAGGAGGACCCGGGCTGTTCTGTGCAAAACCACTGAAAAACTCTGGTTCCCCGCTGGCGCACGTGACCCTTCCCTCCTGTCGGGTGCCCCCACAGAAAGCAGTATAACATGTTTGTTATTTAAAAACAAAACAAAATCCAAGGACTTTAGTATCACTTAAACCTAAAGAAAAAACTTTACAAACATTTTAAAGTAAATAGACTGTTCGCCTTGCGAAGGGAAGTTACACTTTGCAGGGGACTTGGCCCCAGAGCTCAGTAAATGTGGAAAAGTTTCACTTTGCAAAGAATACCCAATCACAGCCAAGGAAAATTAAAATAAAAACAGAGTTTTTGCTTGCACATGATTGAATGACGGAATTATCAGAACTTCATGTCCTTTATGAAGCTCTAGGGCAAATTCCTCTGCACAGCAAACACTCTATTTGCCTTTAGTAAATCAACCCCTATTGGTTAAACAAGGGTCTTCTAGTTTACTACACTCAAGGCACAAAGAGCTCCAACTACTTGGAGACCCTGTAAAGGTTTACAAGTCATATAACCCCACCAGCTCCCCCTCCCCACCCCTCACTGTTGTTTTTATGGTCCTGTCCATCTGTTGAATGAAGACTGTGACCTGTGCAGTGCAAGGCTAACAGCCCCGGGCACATTCCAGCCACAGGACCCAGCATGGTACGCTCCCTGAGGGGGGACATTCCCATCTGGGGCCCCCTGACCAGGATTTAGAGAGGCCTGAAAATCTGCAATTCACACTCCAGTCAGCCAGACGCACACAATGTTTTAATCCCCGTGCCCCTCCACCAGAATACGACAATCAGAACAATACGTGAGCTGGCCTGGACATAAAAGAATGCAAAACCCAATCATAACAGGCGGACGAGGCTGCGTGCAACTTCGTCAAAACATCGCCATCACAGATCCAATAGTACAAACACGGCTAGCTTGCAGCGTGCCAGGAGTGATCCTAAGGGTTCCATATTGGAAGCAATTGTCAGTTTAACCATCATGATTGTGTCACGCGTCTCTATAATATCTCATCTTCTCAGCAGGACACCTGTGCTGGCTGTGCGCCTTACAAATTACATTTGGATTGTATATGTTGTAACATATATGTTACAATCCGACTGTGAAATCTTTTTTCTAGGCTTAATAAAGCTATATGAATATGAGGACCTACCTAAGCAATCCAACCAATTCCTATCCAATCAAACAGACACTTGCACTACTTACTTGTTGGTAGATCTAAAGAACATTGTACAGTCAGATTGCAATATGTGGTGAGCAAAAGGCTCTGTTCACACTAGTGTGATTTCAGCAGGATGCAACTTGAGTTGCACAGAATCGCATGACAATAGAAACCCCATTGTTTTCAATGTTACCCATTCATATCAATGCAAATCATCTTGGCGCGATTTTGGAAAAGGCTCCTGTACTACTTTGCTGTGATTCCAGTTTGATTTTGGCGCCACAGAATATGCAAACCCCATCCAAGTTGCACTACATAATCCCACTAAAAATCGAATCGTAGCACTGTGAACCTAGCCTTGGGCCAGGGTAACCCTTTTTGTGGTACATTGTGGCATCATGCATCAACATGTACTAAACCCAGGACCCTGCATTCACTATATCTGGTCTCCCAGGACCCTGCATTCACTTAATCTGGTCTCCCCGGACCCTGCATTCACTATATCTAGTCTCCCCAGGACCCTGCATTCACTATATCTGGTTTCCCCGGACCCTGCATTCACTATATCCGGTCTCCCCGGACCCTGTATTCACTATAACTGGTCTCCCTGAACCCTGCATTCACTATATCTGTTCTCCCCGGCCGGACCCTGCATTCACTATATCTGGTCTCCCAGGACCCTGCATTCACTATATCTGGTCTCCCCAGGACCCTGCATTCACTATATCTAGTCTCCCCAGGACCCTGCATTCACTATATCTGGTCTCCCTGAACCCTGCATTCATTATATCTGTTCTCCCCTGCCGGACCCTGTATTCACTATGTCCGGTCTCCCCGGACCCGGCATTCACTATATCTGGTCTCCCAGGACCCTGCATTCACTATATCTGGTCTCTGCAGGACCCTGCATTCACTATATCTGGTCTCCCCGGACCCTGCATTTACTATATCTGGTCTCCCCGGACCCAGCATTCACTATATCTGGTCTCCCAGGACCCTGCATTCACTATATCTGGTCTCCGCAGGACCCTGCATTCACTATATCTGGTCTCCCCGGACCCTGCATTCACTATATCTGGTCTCCTCGGACCCTGCATTCACTATATCTGGTCTCCCCGGACCCTGCATTCACTATATCTGATCTCCCCGAACCCTGCATTCACTATATCCGGTCTCCCCGGACCCTGCATTCACTATATCTGGTCTCCCCGAACCCTGCATTCACTATATCTGGTCTCCCACAGTACACACAACATGGAAATGCAATAATTTTAGTAAATATAAACTGCTAAATACCTTTTCTCATCAGCAGTTAGAGCAGTCTTGTGACTTCTATCAGTGTCCAGCAGAGCACTTTTTAAAGCTTTTAGGAGGGGTTTTCATTCTCCCCTCATTGTCCTATAAAGCTGCAGGATCTCTGACCCTCTGTCTGGACAGCGCTGATTGGCCCTGTGCTGATCACATGCACTCTCCCCCCAAAAAAACCTCTCTGGTAATACACACCAAAACTGAGATTGTAAGCTCCAAGGAGCAGGGCCCTCCTAACCCTCTTGTATTGAACTGTATTGTTGCTGTATTGTCTCCCGTTATATTGTAAAGCGCTGAGCAAACTGCTGGCGCTATATAAATCCTGTATAATAAAAATAACTAAGCATGTGCAGCTTGCCCCCAAGGCTATGTGCTATCAGCAGATTGATTGGGGACAGAAGAAGGGGAAGATCAGAGAAGACAGGATCAAACAGCCTTTTTTACACAGTGCAGAGCATTCTTAACTCTTAAGGTTCCACAGTACATATAACAATCACGCTTTACTGCATATAGAGACTGATTTTACTGTTGTGAGTTTAGTAAAACTTTAATGCAGTCTTTTCATTTTGAATGAGCTGCCAGTGCAACCTAGCATGGCCCACACTATATCCCAATCTTTCTCCAAAAATCTACGCCTGGTAGTATGTTGTGGTGTGCTTCAGTGCAGGCACATTACCTTATTACATTGGGGTACCAGGGGCGGACTAACCATTTGGAAACTCAGGCACTGCCCGAGGGCCTGGGGTCAGTAGGGGGCCCCATGAGTTGTCAGTCCGCCCCTGTGGGGTACCATCCACTAGGAGATGCTTTAATGCATGCACAGTGCCGTGCTGCAAGTGTTACCACAATATAAAAGCATGATCCCTGGTTTCACCAAATCTTTAATAAAATGAAAATGACCTAAATAAGCAATTCAGTTTGTATCAATTTAGGCAGTCCCTCGTACTAAGGAGTTGTTGGCATATATAGAAGATTGTACAGTCCAAACATAAGATGTATGGTACACATAAGGCTGGCCACACAAGGCAACTTTCAGCCATTTTCATCAGCTTTTGATTGTCAAGAATGACCAAACAGATGAACAAGATTACCAGCACCATCCAATGATTATAGAGGTGGTGGTAAGTTGCCCTGGTCTTGTTTGTATTTGCCATTTAAATCTTTTTGAAAATGCTTGCAAATTCCTGTATGTTTGTCCAGCATAAAGCTAGCCAGTCAAGGCAGGATTGGAAGTACAAGGCATGTGATCTTTTATTTTAGCACTTGGAGGCCATGAGTTCTTGACCTGACTTCAAAGTCTTGTTAATGTAAAACAATTAAACAGATGAACAGAAGACTACCAACATCTATATTGGTGGTGGATGGTCACCCTGACTATTGTTTTTATTTACCACCATTAAAATGTTTTTGAAAGTGGTTAAAATTGCCTGTAAGTCCTGTATGTGTGGCCAGCAGAAGACTATCCAGTTGGTTGTGGCAGGAGGAACAGCACAAGGCAAGTGGCCTTTTATCTTCGCATCAGGAGGACCATGGACTTGTTCTTGACTTTGAATCCAAGGTTCTGTATACAGCTTGGGTCTTGGGTCCTAACCTTGGACTTTATCCCCCTCAGGTGCACAGAAACTGATTTGCGAATGTGTACAGGTACTTGGCTAGTACCACCACACGCCTGGACCTTTCCAGTAATGTTGGTTTGTATGCTTTGGTAGACTTGTGAGGTTTTAAGAAACAGGTTCCTGAACTACACAAATAGCATATAGTGATGGAACATCTTCCACGGTGCTCCAATTGCATGCAACTAATCAGTGCCACATGCTACTTAGTTACATAGTTAGTCTGGCTGAAAAAAAGACAAAGGTCCATTCAGTTCAACCATAAATAAAAAAGTTAAATATCCTACACCCACAGTTGATCCAAAGGAAGTCCAGCAAAGCATGATCCAATTTTCTCCTGCAGGGGAAAAAAAATCCTTCCTGATCCTCCAGTACCTGTATACCCTAAACCAGGTGTCTCCAACCTTTCTAAACAAAGGGCCAGTTTATTGTCCTTCAAACTTTCACCAGTGGGAGTACAAAATGCCCTATCATCAGTGGGAGGAAAACATTTACATAGAGCCTATGGTCATTAGGAGGAGGAATAGTGGCCCAACATTGGTAATAATGGGAGGCAATAGTATCCCATTGTTGTTTTCATTAGAAGGAATAGTGTCCAATCATTTACATTGGCGAGAGGAAAAGTGCCCTATCATTGATGTCAATGGAGGAATAATGCTCCCTTGCTGGTGTCAGTGGCAGAAATACTGCCCCACTGGTGGTGTCAGTGGAAGGAACTGTGCCCCATCATTGTTGTGGAGAGGAAAAATGTGTAAAATTGTTTATGTTACTGGGAGGAATTATGCCCTATCATAGATGACAGTAGATGGAATAGTCCCCATCATTGGTGTCAGTGGAAAGAATTAATGCTCCATTTTTGGTGTCAGTGAAAGTAATACCCTCGCTGTTGGTGTCAGTGGATGAAATAGTGCCTCATCATTGGTGTCAGAGGAATAGTACCTCATATTAGTTGGAGGAACAGTGCCCCAAGGGCTGAATAAAGTTAAGAAAAGAACCGCAGTTTGGACACCACTGCCACAATTCTGGGTACACATTTTTTTTTTTTCATTCAGTCCAGTGGGATGAATGAAAACAAGAACTAAAGAGCTCAAGAGCTAGTAGTACAGTGATCTCCCTGCTGAACTATTGTGTTCTGAAAGAGGGACTGCCTCCCCGCCATAACACACACCAGTCAACACTGGCAGGTCGAATGCCAAATTGGATGCTGCTCTTCCAGCAAAATGGTTTGACAGAAGCTGGTTATTTGGCCCATGTGTACAGGGCTTAAACTATAGAAAGCCATCCATTCCATCAGTTAAGCAAAAGTAATTTTAGTAATACAACATAAGTCTGGACACAAAAAAAAAAACATACATATGCAGTACATCTCTGTAACACTTCCACATTTCCCGGTGTTTTCCCCCTTTAAAACACCTTGCTAGTACAGAAATATACCTGGTTTATCTGCTACAAAATGCACTCTGCTTCTAAATGCCATTGTATGCTGACAACACACTGCATAGTGATGGAACATCTTGCACAGTGCTTTGAGTGGTGTCAGCCCTACCCAGTGTCTTTTGCTAAACAGCTCCTTCTCACCAACTCAGATATCTACAATATAAAGGCTAATCATTCTGTAGTACAAGATATGAACTAGGATCAGGGGCGGACTGACCATTTGGAAACTCAGGCACTGCCCAAGGGCCCGGGGTCAGTAGGGGGCCCCATGAGATGCCCCTGATACCTTATTCATAGGCTTTTTTGAGTTTGGGCAAGGACACAGGGGCCCCCTGATCCCCTATTGCCCGGGGGCCCCATGAATTGTCAGTCCGCCCCTGACTAGGAGTACTCCTTGAGATTACACAGGACAGCTTTGAATTTCTGACATGATCAACAGGTATTTTTTTTTTTTACTTCTCAAACAGATCTAACAAAACTCTTTAAATTATATATTTAACAGACCAAAAGGGAGCAAATATGAGAAGTTCATTGTTGGGGTTTACATACACTTTATTTTCATGCAGCTCTTGGTATTTGAGCTGTGTGAATCCAAGGATCAGCCTTAATTTTTAGTTAAAGGATATTTAAACACAACTGCAATATATGGCCATTACCAGACCTTGGATGTGGTAGCTGCATTTAGCTTTGTTTAGGTCAAGTCTGTTTTCTGCAACTACAGGAAAAATACCTGTTGCTCCTGCCAGAAATCCAAATGTCTTTGTGGCTACCTGTGCACTAAAATGCTCTTTCAAACAATGTTTTGAGTTTTTCTAGGCACTTTCTATGAACTACACTTCCTCTCCTCCCAATATAATGCAGACGAGGAAAGAGGGAGGAGTGTGTAGTCCAAATTGGGAGAGGAGCCTAGGGTGACAATGCTACTCCTCCATTGATAGAGTACAGAGAGTATGATCATCCTAGGATGGGGATTGTTACTGGCAGGATGAAAAAAAAAAAAAAAACTACTGCAGCCACTACATCTTAGCTGCAAATTATTACATTTTTGGTTTTGGTTTTAGAAACCCTAATATATAACAAATTGCAAGGGATATTTTTCATCTCTATAAAACACAAAGCATTGCCTGAACAGACGTCTACATAGCCATACATTTTTGGAATTTGGCAAGAAAAGCGCACACTTTATGGAGGTGCTTAAATTCAGACACATCTGGTTTACGCAGTAAAAATTTGCCTTTATGAAGCAGTTCATAATATAATGAGTAACGGTACTCCAGAAAGACTACAATATCGCTCCAGGCAGAGAAGCAGTTGGAGTTTTGAGCATGAACATGAAGACTTGAGTCCCCTCAATTTTTTTTCCCCTTTTTTTCCGTAAAGTCAATAATCTAATGTTAGCATTGGCTAGAAGCCACAACTT